GTGCAATATAAAGCAATTCACCCTCAAGTTAGTCACATTCTCAAGAATTTCAATATTATATTCAACTGATATCGATATCGTATCGTAGAGGTGAGAATAATGGTTTGTATTCAGTAGTAGTCTAGTTCAATTTAATAAAAGATATAGACTGGATTCGTGTACGAGTAAATAAGTTTTTTTGAAACTTTATATTTAAGGAAAAGTGCAATAACTCAACAACGCCGTAACCGAATTTCAAAAACCAAACATGAAATGATATCAGAATTTAACGTAGCATCTGAATATGTAATGATATACAGGGCGTTCTATTTTAAAAAATGGAATTTTGGTCTGTAGCACCTACACCAAACACCCTGTATATTTAAAAATTATATCAAAATATAGCTCTTATGAACTCCTGAAACTTTTGTATGAAACATTTTTGTGTACCTCCTTCAACAAACCAGATATTGCCTGTCACATAAAATGTGGGACACCCGGTATACAGGACACAGTACGGTATAAGAGGCGATTATGGGTCAGAGAGATCAATAGTCCCAGGAAAGTGGCAATTTCAAATTTTTGGGACTTATTGAACTCTTGAATTGATGATTTAGAACTTTCAGGGAGGAAGTATGCGATTGGAATTGATGGTGTATGGCTACAGCACTTTGAAAATGGGTTACAGCAGTTTGTACCGGAATTGAAAAAAAAACTATTTTTTGATCGTCCGTAAAAACTTTCCTATCTGACCAATTTCGAATAATTCTTTTTGAACGACGGGAAATTTTGTTTTCTTCAATTTAACTTAGAATTACTTTTCACACAAGATTGATGGTATTCGAGTTATAGGTAAAAAACTAAAACAAGTCAAAAAAAATCGCGGTTTTTTGGCGACTAAAAACTTTCCACAACTTACTCGAGGTCGAAAACTTGGATTTGACATCACTAAACACGTGTGAACAAAATACTGAAATTCCATTTACTTGGGAATTTTTTGTTGCTAAAAATAGCTGCCGATTGGACTACAAAAAAAACTTTAAGTCATGGTTGAAATAGACCTTCTAACATTTTAAGATAATCTTTTGAAAAGGGTAGTGAATAAGCATTCAGATGAATGACTTCATCACCTGGCAACTCATCCAAATAATTCAGTCCTTTTTTTTCAAATATAAATAGATCCAAAAAGCTTTGCTGGAATGATGATGTAAGTAATCAATTATTAAATGAAAATCAAATCCACAATGAATTATATTATACTAATTACAAAACCTTAAGCTAAGTGAAGTGTAAAAATATATACTGATTGGTCTAGCACTGAAGATTATTTAAAAAACATATAATTATATTAGTGTATGAAGGTATATTCCCTTTTACAAATCGGACAAATCGAAGAATTATGCAGGCACTGTCGCAAGCAACTGGCATGAAACAAATGCTGACAAGGAGTCACCCTTGCGGTTTCCATAGAGCTCAAGCAGACAGCGCAAACATCATCGCAGTTTTCGATTTCTTGGTCTGTTGCATATCTGAACTGTTCCAGTACCCTTTTCTCGTCTCTGAGTTGTCTCAAACTGTTTAAAATCATATCTTTCAGTCTCAAGTAAACAGTTAGATAAAACGATAGTGAAGTGAATCTAGGTTGCCCATGAAAGCTCAAAAGCGTCACCAAAATCACAGCCAGACCAATCGTGTATGACTTGAGGAAAACTGGGGCATAAAGAGGCTCTAGCGCTTCTAGAGATTTGAGTCTAAGCCACAGCAGGAAGGGTAAAAATAAATCTACGAATACTTTCTCAGTGCACATGTAGTAGGTCCATGTGATGAACGTGTACAGAGCAGTTGGTTGGTAATGCTCCAAACCCTGTTCCAATCCGAACACCAGCAGCATAAAGGTTACTGTAATTATGAACGTTACTGCTTTGGTCCATTCTAGAACTATTTTGGTCGCAGACATGGCAACGTGCTTGATATTGCTGTGCTGCGTCATTCTCACTGTAACTGACCAGTCTTCTTTCTCAACGAGTTCTTTGATGTAACTTGTACAATAGGCAATGACGTTGTAGAACATCAATGAATAGAGTCCAGTGATTTTTTTTTGAGGGCAGTGGGTACCTCCAAACGAGCAAAGCAGCACTCTGTCGCATATCATGAAGAAAACTAACTGAAAATGAAAAATATTTGTAATACAAAAATAACTGACAAAATAGTTAAGGCTTTCACAGTCGAGGTTTTAAGTGGCATTATTTTTCGGGTTTGAAGACCGTCGATTTTTGGAATTCCTTCCTGGCGTTTTGCTGGCACGAGTGGCTATCTTCTTCAGAGGTTTATACAGTCTAAGTTATCTGCGATGACTGGATATCACGGCTGCCCAAATCGTATGTGTGTAGTTGGGTCTGCTAATGCCTGTACCTGGATTAGATAAATTTCGTAAAGCGTGTTCATGTTGACTCAGGTAGTTTGGTGTGCTGTTACCGGATACCAATAACATTCATTGACCTTTTTCTACTTGCCGTTATGCTGTGTGCTATTCTTGAACTTCTTGGAATGAGATTCCATATTGGGTTGAGGTTCACAGCTTCTTCTTTTTTGTTGTTCATGGTTCCTTATAGCCTCATGTACCAGTCGGCTATGATATCCCTGGTTGAGGGCCATGATTTTCGTGTTTCCAAGCATAATCTTGTGGTTTCCTACACTGAGTGCGTGTTCCGCCACAGCCGACTTGTCCCTAGGGTCACAGAAAGAATTGGAACTCTCTTGGGGAAACACAATATCGAAACAGTTCTCACACCCAAGAAAACACAACAAAGTATCAGGCCGGCTGAAGACAAGAGAGACCCACTGTCAGCAGCAGGGGTCTATCGGATATCGTGCACTTGTGGGAAGGTATTAATCTGAATCAACAAAAGATCAATGGAAACATGGCTGAAGGGACATGAAAGGAATTGCAGACTAGGTCATACGGACAAGTCAACACGCCACAGCCGTAGCTAACTTCACAAAATACACAATTCCACAACTAACACAAGCGGATGGTTCAATTGCAACGACAGCCATACAAAAGGCAAATCTACTAGCTGAACAATTTGCGTCCCACGCCACAGTTGATTTTCTGGAGAAGACACCACCCACTATTCCCACAATGCCGAAAATTACTTTTCGACAGCGTCTAGTCAAGCGAATTTTAAAACAGATCAATATCAACAAGGCGTCTGGCCCTGATGAAGTACCCGTCATCGTACTTGAAATATTCGCAGATTAACTCGCATCAGTATTTTGCAGACTATTCAACCTTCTTATAAGGAAGGGGTTTTTCCATCTTGTTGGGAGTCTATTCCCAAAAAGGGCAAAAAAATCTTCCAAATAACTATAGACTGGTCGCTTTGCTATCAGTGCTATCAAAAATCATAGAGGAAGTCGTAAATCACCATATCCTGAAATATTTGGAAGGTTTCAACATCTTGAGCTATCATCAATATGGCTTTCGAAAACAAAAATCAACAGGCGACCTTCTATCGTATGTCACCCATATTTGGAATAACGCAATCGAGAAACATGGAGAATCAATAGCTGTTGCGCTTGATATTTTTAAGGTCTTCGACCGTGTGTGGCATCAGGCTTTGCTGGCCAAACTTCGATGCTATGGCTTGTAGGATCATTTTCGTGTATGGCCCTTCAGCTTTCTCAAAGAACGTTCCCTGCAAGTGGTCGTCGATAGATATCTCTCACCATCAACGATGGTATTCCCCAGGGATCCATATTGTCTCCAATCCTCTTTTTATTGTATATCAACGACTTATTGGAAAAAAACAAGAATTCGATATATTGCTTTGCTGATGACAAGCACCCTTGTTTAGTCATTACTTTTGGATGTCAGGACATCGGCTACGGAGACACATCTTCACCAGCAGCAGGAGGTTGCATATCTTAATAAGGATCTAGAAGTGATTTCGAATTGGGGGTGAAAGTAACCAGATTCAATTCAATGCCACAAAAACTCGAACATAATTTTTCTCCAAGAAGATAAATGTCAAGTCAGACAATTCCGCTTTCAGCTTCGATGAGTTTGTTGGGGGTCAAAATGGACAATACCTTGGCACAATCATGCCGCTGTAATTGCAAAGGCTGCTTCTCAAAATCTTGGAACTATGTTCTGAACCAGAAAAATGTACATTCCTCAGCCACTTTTGATGCTTTATAAAGCTCAGATCAAACCTTTTTTGGAGGATTGTTCTCTTATATGAAGTTCTGCCCCCAAACATAGCCTGAAGTTGCTGGATTCCATCCAGAAAAGAGTCATTCGCCTGATTGGAAACGCGAACATCATTTGTAACCTTGATAGCCTAGGACATCGAAGAAATGTTGGAAATTTGTCTCTCTTCTATAGATACTTTCACGGGAAATATTCAAGTGACTTGGCACATTTGATTCCACCAACAGCGGTAGATATCAGAAATACACGACGAACTGTGGCTGCTCATCGTTCTTAGGTTCAATTCAGTACACCTCGAACTCTACTGTTTGAGAACTCTTTCAAATGGAAAAGTGCGATGTTGAGGAATGAACTTCCTGAGAACGTTCCCCCATATGTATTCAATCTCCAGCGATTCAAATCCAATGTGAAGCGCTACTTCCGCACAGGCACCGCTCTGAGAGCGCCTTCATGATTTTCCTGTAGTGCTTGAGTTTTGTCTTAAAAAAAACAGGATTCTGTTTGAAAACACGATTCTGTTTGAAAACAAGAAACTCATTGCCACAATCAGGCATATCATCGCCAACTGATACGAGAGGCAATAGAGTTTCACAAACACATGGATAATTCCAACAAAAAAAAAGGACCTCAAACGAATATGGAATTTCATTCTAAGAAGTTCAAGAATAGCAAACAGCATGAGGGCAGGTAGAAAAGGGTCGACCAATGTTATTGACAATTTACCTGATCCAGGTACAGCACAACAAACTACCTGAGTCAACATGAACACGCTACACGAAATTTACCCAATAAAGGTACAGGTAATAGCATATCAAATTACCTGAGTCAACATAAATACACCTTGCGCAGCCGTAATTACCAGAGGGATTACTCAGGATGTATAAATCCTAAAGAAACTAGCCACTCCCACCAACGAAAGGTCAGGAAGAAATTCTAAAAATTGACGGCCTTCAAATCCTAAAAATAATAATACTGATTAGTATAACGGTTCCAGTACTCACTACAAGCAACTTTCCTTTCATTTATGTGTCTCTTATAAAATGACCAAATGTGATAACCTTAACCGTTGATTACCCTTTTTTAGAGTAGCAAAGATGCTACTTTTTCTATTAACATTTTCTCAAAATTACCATTTTGAGAAAAATGTTTCAATAATTACATTATTTCTGTCCTCAGAGCGGATGGGGTAACAATAAGAAGTCGCTTAGGGCTAGATCTGTTGAGTAAGGTGGATGGTCAAGCAGTTCATATCGTAATTCGTGGATTTTCGTCATGACGACCGCTGAGGTGTGAGACGGTGCGTTGTCTTGGTGAAACAGGATTTTCTCTTTCTGCAAATGTGGCCATTTTTCTGCAAGTTTCGCCTTCAGCTTGTCAATTGATGATGCGTAGTATGCTCCTGTAATGGTTTTTCTTTCTTGAAGATAATCAATTGTAATAACTTCATGACTATTTCAAAAAATAGTCGCCATCATTTTCCCAGTCGAAAAAAGAGTTTTTGCTTTTTTTGAGGCCGATTCCTTCTTTGCAGTCTACTGTTTGAACTATAGTTTTGTTTTGGGCATATAATGGTGTATCCAAGTTTCATCTACAGTAAATAATCGGCGCCAAATCTCAGATTAATTACGCCAATAGATCGTTGTAAATGTTCATTCGAACACGTTTTTGGTCTAACGTGAGCAAACGCGGCATCCAATGCGCGGACAGCTTTATAATGCCTGAATGTTCATTCAATATTATGTGAGAAACACGTTCTTTTGACATGTTCATAACCTCTGTTATCTCTCTCATTTGAATGCGACGGTGAGTTTTGGCGATATTTTCGTCGGTAGTTGCAGTTTTTTGACGTCTCAAACGTTCATCATCTCCCAAGCTCTCACGACATTGAGGTGGGAAACTTTCCAACCACCCTCTATATCTCTGAATGGGTTAAATGAATTGAAACTTCCCAGCTACAGATAACATTTGACTTTATATGAAATACATCTTCAAATCATAGCTGAGCAGTTAAACCTGAAGGATTTCGTTGTGCAACATAGTAATAAATGAATAGAACTAGGTATCAAACGGTAATGGCATATCACCTTACGAACATGCTATCCAAGAGATCGACAAAAAACTCAATCCACAAATATCAGAAACAACGAGGCGCTAGAAAACCTCCAGGTCAGTTGCAAAGCCAATTTTCGACGTCGACCGACGAACGACATTCGTTCTCTGCCTTTCTTTGCAGCTTTCACTGCAAGGTGACTGTTTGAATAAGGACCAAAAATCAAGGCATCCGTGATTCAACCACAAACAGCGCTTAGTCTTAGCTGTCATCTGTGTTGCTAGGCTCAATCACGAATGCAATCTTAGACTCAATCGTCCTCAAACGACAAGCCTGAGTAATAACCGTTTACTACTCAGTTTCACTCACTCAAGAAACAGTTGAATCTATTGTTCCACTCGTGGTTCAGCCTAGCACTAGGCTAGTTCACTAGTTCAGTGATGAAATTTATGGCGAGTTGATACAGCGCTGTGTTAAATCACGGATGCTTTGTTTTTGGGCTCTGATTTCGAAAATAAATATATATGAGTAAATAAAAAGTTTTTACCTGGGTAGTTAAATTAGAGATGTTAGTCATTTTCATGAATAATTTTTCACATCTATCCAATGGGTGGTAGATTCGACACATGATGTACCACGCTGGAACATAGTATTTTACGAACAAACCTACAAAGGAGAAAAAATGACAAATGAATTTGATTAAAAGTCAATTTTTTGATTATGAAAAGAAAACAGCTTAAAAACATATACCGTGTCCATTGAGTTCACAGCAAATATCTAATTCTTTTATTCGGTGTACAGGGTGGGCCAAAGTGGGCACTTTCAAAGGGAAACTCCTGTTTTCAAACAAGATAGATGAACACTGATGGCTGTGACTGAGAATTAAATTTCATGATGAATATAATGGTGAAAACCGTATATAAATATCTATCATCGTTTCTGAGTTACAGCATGTTTTTCAAAAATGCACATTTTCGATAAGGTGCTGTAACTTTTTTCCTGTCAAAAATTTCTTGTTTCCATAAAAACATTTCCAAAGAACTTTTTTACGTAGACTTCGATAGTGTGAAAAACTTATTTTGTCAAATGAGATATCAATAGTTATTTAAGAAAAACTGTTTTTTTTTTCAATGAGACACCCTGTATATTCCTACATATTTCAATGGAACCTAAAGTCACCTTTCCAAAAATGAAACACACTTAATATTTTGCTAGTCATTTTTGAAATACGGAGCTTTTAGGTTTTTTCATATAGTGTCATGTAGTGTGAAATGTACTCTTTAAACAAGTAGGCTTTGAACGACGCGACGCGGCGATAAAACTGAAAGAAATTGTTCAGTAGTAGCTATCAAATGCTATCATTGAATAATGAGCATACTCTCGATAAAACTGATAATAATTCATACTATATATTTATTACTAATAAATGAAACTTCGACAATAATAATAATAAGGATAAAGAACAAACAATGAAATATATTTTTTCAGAGAAGGTGTTCGAAATATGTACCAGCTTCTCCTACACACAGGCAACACCTTTTCTGAACGTTTTTTCCAAATTAATTAGTTCAATAGAAGTGAGAGAAGAAAACTCTCGTTCACTTCGTATCTAGAATTGGTCGGCAATTCAAAAATGAGATCTTTCAACCTTCCTAAGAGGTAAAAGTTCTTAGGCGTCAGATCCGGTGACCTGGTCGGCCAACGGTTGGGTCCTTGTTTGACTATCCAATTATTACCAAAATTTTTAGCCAAAAAACTGATGAAAATTGTAGTGTTGTAAAGTAAAACCTCTGTCTTGTTGATAATAGATTTTTCAGAGCTCCATTAGTAACAATTCATCAACAGGGGTTCAATATTTTGCCTTAAAATTTATAAGTGGGAGTGCCATTATGAACGGGCCGATAATTCTACCCAAAAACACCTTGCAATACACAAAATCCAAATTTATCTTGACTTTTCTGCTCCACAATAGAATGAGGATTTTGTTGTGCTCCAGTATAAGAAGTGTAGTGGTTGAAAATGCCGGCACTGCATAAGCTTCTTTTGTCCAAATATTATTTAACGTAAAATCACCCACTTGGTTACAACTTTCCAGGAACTACTGGCAAATAGCTATGCGGCGTTTTAAATCTCTTGGTCGAGTTGATGAACTCTTCTGGTCCTGTATGGCTTTTTCAAAACGTTAGTTCTTGGTAGGCCTGTTGATATTTCCAAATTTCGCGTCGACTATTTCTTCCAACTCCTGTTTGATTCATTTAATTTTGACCTCTTTTTCACAAATTGACCACCATCAATTAGGTTGTGTCGCAACCTCTAAACAACCTCTAAAACTTTGTTTTCTCTCTGGATATCTCTCGTGAGACAAATTGCTTGCTGCTTCTAAATTTTCCCCGGTTTGTATAACACAGAATAGCATATCATAGCAATATCATATTTTTCATAATTCTCATACTTCATTTGCGGATGTGTTTAGAAATTTAACAAAAACTATAAATTGCACATCGTCTTTACTGCCCAAATCAAAATTTGACAGCCACCAGTAAAAATTTGCATTCAGTTTTATCGCCGCATGATCCAAAGCCTACTTGATCAACGTGTGCGTTTCAAAGTCTACACGAAAAAATCTGAAAGCTCTTTACTTCAAAGTAAAACATCAAGTGTGTCACATTTTTGAAAGGTAATTTTAAGCTCTCATGAAATATGCAGGAATATACGTTAAACAAATTGTTTTCCATCAAGAACTATTAATATCTCATTTGAAAAAAGAGTTTTCTAAACTATTACATTATACGCAAAAAAGTGTTTTGAAAATGTTCTGATAGAAACAAGAAATTTGCGACAGAAAAAAAGTTACAGCAACTTTTTGAAAATGCACTTTTTCGAAAAACATGTTGTAACTCAGAAATGATGATAGATATTGATATGCGGTTTTCACCATTAAGTTCGTCAAAAAATTTGACTCTCAGTCACAGCCATCAGTTTTCATTTAGTTTGAAAACAGGGGTTTTCTTTGAAAGTTTCCAATCTGTCCCACTCTGTACAATGAAATTTGAATGGATTCAAACGTTAGTGCATGTTCGATGACAATGAAGGATGCACTAAGAACGGTGTTCAGTCAAACAACATACAGGGAAGATCAGAAAATATCAAATTCGTTCAAGAATAAGGTACCTTCACTTAGAAGAATACAAGAAATTGTTGTTGAGAAAAGTATTTCATGATGCTGCAACAGTTTTATTTTGTTGGTATTTTATAATTACTTTCAAAATACTAATTGATTATATTAGACGAGCTGTGTAAGCTGTGTAAGCAATAAAAGTGTTTTTCTACACCCGTACTCTAACAATACACTTAAATGACCATAATCCGTTTCATAATGATATCCATTATGATACAGATTTTTCATAACGATACAGATTATCAACCAATAGAAACCCATAATTTTTCAATCAAGAATCCTGTTCCTTTGTTTGTCCTAGATTCTAACCTAAGTAACTAATTGCTTTATTTGTCAAAATCAGTTTTCATATTACCTACCTATATTATCAAAATGTCTGAAAACAGCGATATAGAAGGAATACCATCGACTCCAATATTTTTAAAAGATCAGATTAATTACAGTTGTTATATTCAATATAAATATAATTAGAATCTTTATAGTTTTCATATATCCATGATAATACCATTAAGTTTGTGTTTTTTTTAAAAATATGAGTTAATTACTGTAAATGTGTTCAATACAAATATAATATTTATTGTTTTTCATTATTTATCGGGTTTACAAAATATAGCGTATGCAACTCTCATGTAATGGTTATTAATACACTCGCATATACCATACAAAACTCGCCTTCGGCTCGTTTCGTATCCCGGTTAATGCTCGTGTCTTAATAACTATCATTACATGATCGTTGCATAATATACTATTATTAATTTGTCATAGAAACGTTTATGAAATAAAACTGAAAATCTGTTATAAAATAGTCACGAAATTATCACAGTTTTAACAAATAACTTATCAAACATATTTGCCTATATAAGTGAATTGCTTTGTAGCAGTTTCATAGCACTTTTCTGTGACGTTTCTATGCACTGTATAAAACTGTTTCAAGAATATTTTATAACTGCTATAAATTCGAGGCATTTTGTTCTTTTATTTCCATTTTAGTGACAAAGCCTCCATCTTTTAAGTTTTCTTATATCAGGCCCAACGAAGACTCCTTCTTTCATTTTAGCATCGGATAGACCAGGAAACTTTTCAGAAAGATACTTGAAACAATCTCTTTCTTTGTCTAATGCTTTCACAAACTGTTTCATTAGCCCCAATTTGATATGGAGTGCTGGAAGTGGGATTTTTTTAGGATCCACTAAACTTTATTTTCAAACAATTTCAACTCCAGGAATAAGACCCTTTCTTATTGGCCACACCTGCTTGACATAGTGTTGTTCCCTGTCACGGCTATCCCATTCACATAGGAAACATGGAAACTTAGTGTAATCACTTTGCTGACCTAGTAACATTGAAATAACTTTAGTAGTTGTTTACAACAACTACTAACTTTCAAATCTCCACAAATGGTCCACTCATGATCAGAGTAGCTGAGCTTATTAAAAACACATTCAGATTTTCGTAGCATTCTTTCAAATGGACTGAGTGTCCAACAAGCACAGAGGAATATTGATTCCCATTGTGAAGAAGTACAGCTTTCAAACTTCTTTTTGATGAATCGATGAAAAGTCTCCATTTCTCTGGTTCATACGTTATGTTGAACATTTCCATGACGCCGGGTATATTGTTGCAGAAAATTAGGTCACCCTCTTGTGTAAAAAAAGGGACAAATTCCCTTTCTCTAAATGGGTCCCATAAAAATGAAACACCGGAGGCTAACATATGTCTTTCTTCAAGTCTAGACCCTAAAACTTCTGCTGAGTCCTTTGGGAGGCCCAGATCCCGTACTAAATCGTTCAAGTCTGATTGAGAGAAAATTGACATCTTCGGGGGGCAACTAAAGTCGAGCATTCACCGCAACGGGGATCGCATTACTGAGAATATCCAGCCCTTCCTCACCCTGCCACTCGACATTGAAAAAGGGAAGACTGTCAGAGAAGCGCTTAAGATACTAGTCTCCAAGAACAGTTCAGAGGGGCTGACTTGGTCGAAAACAAACGGGAAGTTCGAAGCATGAGAGTTAATTACGCTCTGCAAACTTCCAGTTTTCCTCATTTTGCATCTGAATTTTTTCGAATACAGCCACGACCGTTGCACGAAGATTATCAATGCCTTTGGATTTTGAATTTGACTTGCAGATTGATTCGACTTTGGTATCGTCGGAAACACCGTCTTCAATAGAGATGCAATACAAGCTATTCGCCGTCGTTTACCACGAAGGCAAATACCGTATTGAAGCCCCAGGAAACGTGAGTTCCTTATTTGCTGTTCTACAGGAAAAGCGATATTATCCCATCTAAAAAAACTCCCTCCTAGGAGGATGAGGTTGCTGCTTTTACGTAGAGTTCAGCGTCTGGAAACTTACGGACTTTTTTTTTTTTTAGTTATTATTGAATTTGAATTTTTTTTTGGTTTTAGTGAATTTATTTTCTTTAATTTTGTTGTAATTTATGACATGATGTATTAATTTAATAAACCAATAATGAAAATTGAAAAA